TAAGTACACATTATGATCGGGTTGCCAAGTGGCATTGATGTTTGGAAACTGACAGAATTAGAATCATCTTGAAATTTATATCTACTAAATTCTCAAACCGTTTATATTGAAGGTTGTTCAAGATCTCTATTTAGGATTTTGTGAAATTTAAAGGTCGATAAATATTTTTTACTAAAATTAATCCCACTACATTGCATTGGTTACTAAGAATCAAGAAATGGTAGGTAGACATTGTGTACTGCATAGAGTAAAGCGTTCCCATAAATAAATCATGAAGTAACCGAGAAGCCTGTAGAGACGTATAATGTCAGCAAATGAAAAACAAAAACGGCAGCAGCTACCACACACCGTTTTGTCGACGGCGTTTTATTAAAAGATTACATTAAAGCTGCCAGCGTGGTAATCAGTCATGTCTGATGTATCTTGACCAATCGATCTCCTCGTGTGTTGCCATACTACCGCGGATCATTTCCCAGAAGATTGTCGTATTTGATATTTTGTTTTTCTGTAGGGTGGTCTGTGTATCCAATATTTACTAATGTCACTATATCGGACAGTAAAACTATCTACATTATCATTATCATAAGGTCGTCAGTCCTAAGACTGATTAGACACTCACCTCCACTCTTTCCTATCATGAGCTAATCTTCGCATTTCCATAAAACTAGAACAACCCACATCCTTAACTATTTGCGAACAGTAATCTAATCTAGGTCTACTTCTACAACTCCTAACTCCCGTTTCTATCTCTCATATGTCTCTGATTAGACCTTCATACCTGGCAAGGTGTCCTACCAACCTATCTCGCCTATTTATTATTGACATCCATAGAGTCCTCTGCTCTCCTATTCATTCTAATACTTCTTCATTTCTAACCTTTTCTATCCACGGCATCCTCATCATTCGCCGGTAACACCACATTTCGAACGCTTCTAACTTGTTTCGCATCCGTACAGCGCCGCGTTCCAAACATACTCCTTTAAAAATCTTTTTCGAATTTCTAACTCGATACGACGCATTGGCAACGCAACACAATGCTCACTGTAGATATTGTGAGTGACTTGTATTATAACACAGAATTGCCCAAACTTGTTTACGTTACAAATTTTTCATTGTATCTCTACGCTCGCAAGCGGTTAATTTAGAAATTCGAAAAAGGTTGTTAAAGGTGTATGTTTGGAGCACTGATACGAAACATGAACAGTGGGCGCGGCGGAAAAGAAAAGGTTATAAGCGTTGGAAATGTGGTGTTACAGGCGAATGATGAAAATACCGTGGATAGAGAAGGTTAGAAATGAAGAGGTATTAGAAAGAATAGGAAAACAGAGGACTCTATGGAAGTCAATAAGAAATAGGCGAGATAGATTAGTAGGACACCTTCGCAGTCATGAAGGTCTAGTCAGAGACATATTAGAAGCAGAAACGGAGATTAGAAGGGGTAGAGGTAGACCTAGATTAGATTACTGTTCGCAAATAGTTAAGGATATGCGAAGATTAGCGCAGGATAGGAAAGAGTGGAGATGCGTGTCCAACCAGTCTTAGGACTGACGACCTTATGATGATGATGATGATGGTACATCTTCGATATAGTTTGAAAATATTATATATTTTAAAACATAAAATTATTTGAAACAACAAAGCACAGTGTGACAGTAGAGGCTATAAATTAATGTAAAATTTATGCTTTTAATTAACTCATAAAATTATTTTCTGTAGGTCCCATATTTTGAAAATATTACTCACATTGCGGTTCAACACCTCGTAACACAAAGTTCATTTTTGAAATTCAACGCAATGCGAAGTGTGTATTATTTATAATTATGTTAATTATTAATTAACTGGGACCATTACTTACGTATCGTGAGCATTTTGATCAAATATGTCCCCATTCGTTTTTGTTTAATGATATGGAAGTCGATTTTACAATAATTTAATACAAGGTGACATTCATCTATACAACTATATGAATGTATAATAAATTAGCGTATAAATAAACAGGTAGTTTGTATGTAGGTATTTTATGATTGGATTTAGTAAGTGTTTATTCGTTCCGATGTTGTGCGTTTGAATTAATAATTAATTTTCCATATATATATGTATAGCCCGTTCCTGCCTGCCTACGCGTGGAAAACCGTAAAGTCGAAATATATGAAATTAATTTACTTATTTGTATTTTTGAGCCTAATTAATTCAACATGATTCAGAAGAAACCGTATGCGGGGAATCGAATTTTGTCTCTCTTAAATTATTAGTCATTATAAGCATTTTATCCACTGTCCTATAGTCGTTTTTTTATTTGGACAGAAACAAATTTTGTATTTCGTTTATGTGTATAATGTTGTTGATTGGCTGGTGTGAAGATGTAATATGGGCTTTAGGTTGGGTTGCGATGGGAAATGTCTCCCTGATTGGTATGTGTTATATGGTACGATCATGGTTTTAGTGCTATGCTCGAAAGGCATAGGTTGGATTATGCTTGCAATTTCTCTAAATGACGTGGAAGAAGTGTCTAAATTTGAAACCAAAATGCAATGGCGGGAATGGTGAATTTGTTTAAGATTGATGGTTGAAGTGATACTTCTTTTGATGTGTTGAGCGTAAAATTTCATCAAGCAACGGAATTTGCGCGCGCACAGCTAACAAAACTTGTATGAATGGAGTTTCAGTCCAGCATTAAATCTACGAGCTTTGGACTCAGCGATCGTCAATAAAGATTACTGATTGGGGCAAGTTCTCACCCTTGTCAATGGGACCAGCTATCCACGGTGATATTTTTTAAATACGTGATCGATGTATTATCAAAGTGGATGCGTAATTACTAATTACTATTGTATATATGCCGGCTAAATAGATTTTTAAATTGATAGTAGAAGCAATATACTCTCGGTCTTGGACTTGGTCTTGTGTATTAAGTCTTGGTCTTGCTCATTTAATCTGATACTTACGTTTTTTTAAATAATCTAAATAAAAAACAATAACTTTAAATGCTGAAATTTCCTGTCATACTTGCTAGCTTTTAAAGAAAATAATGTCGATAGTTGTGAAAACTAGAATTTAACCATCCTCTAAAGTATAAATTGTTCGCAAACCAAAAATTTCAAATACAAGAGATATAGAAGTAATAATTTTTCATTTAGTCTTGCATATTTGGTCTTGGTTTTGCATATTCGGTCTTGGTCTTGCATATTCGGTCTTGATTTTAGTGGTGGTCTTTGGTCATCACTATTGAGTACATGTACATCATCTTTTTATTTATTACCTCATCTCTCCTTCGTTTTGAATTGTTGAGAAACGTGGTTGTTAGTCTTCCATGCATGCACATGCTCGGTAATTGGTCATTTTGTTTTCTCCGGTATTTCCCGTCCCTTTTTTCTCTTCCGTTTGATTTATACTGAGCGGGAATGTACACGGCCACAATTTTACAGAAAAACTGGTTGCGTTTATGGTATATTACCGGCAATGAATTAAATATTAATACAAAAAAGTTAAATGCCAAGCATACCTAAAAGCGCTCGTATCTTAATGTTCGAATGTATGTTAAACTGGTGCAGGTGCAAAGCAGACACTTACTAATAATCTCATATGAATCTACATCTCAACATGTAAAACATCTCCAAAAAATTATTGTTCAGGAATCACGTTGTGGACATCATCTTGCATCTATTTTAATCGAATATATTTTAATCATTTTCTATCTTCTCGTGTGAAGTGTTTGATGTAAGATGTTTGGGGTTAAAGGTTACGGCTCGGTTTTGCCCGAGTATGCGAAATGTTTCGTTTTCTAAATCGGTTGTCATTTGCAACATCACGAACTTGAGTGCATCATTGAGTCGAGTTCGTCGACACGACATCGATACACGATAAAATAGGAATCGCAAACTAACAGCAACGTGTAGTGGGTATGTCTTTAATCTCGTTCTGATCGATACAGCAGGGTAACAAAGAAGCACCACGTACCGAGTGTAATTTCTGATTTTAATTCGGTAAGTCGTTGAACAGAATCAACAGATTTCGACAGTTACGCAAATAAAAGAAAGGAGATTAATTTAATTTTAGTACGTAAAGGAAACGTTAAAAAGGTTTGTGTAATATTCTGTTTTCCTAATGAAATTCTCATGCATAATTATTGAATAATTATCAGTTAAAATTGCCTTTTATTGCTCCAATCGGACGTGGATTATTTACTGTGTAGTACATAGGTAGTGGGTTTAAATTTTTGTCGCCCTGTATATGCTTTGACTTCGTACAAATAGTTTCTCGCCTTCCCCTATGCTCTGTTCGCTTTCTCTCCCGAGGGAATGACGATGCACCAGGACAGCTTTTACGTCTCCGTGATAATTCTAAATACGAACCATTGAACTCGAACTTGACTACTACAGGATTTTCTGCATGGCGTGGCGTAGCACCAGCAATATTTGCTTTTAAAGATTACTTATCGCAAGTCGGTGAATGGAAGAGTTTATTTGTCGAACTTTTAAGTTTGATTTGTAGGTATTTACCTAATGGACATTTGAAACATACATTCATACAGAAATAATTGATAAATGGTACTAATGGCATCGCGCTACTTCAACACAAAGACTATAGTGAAACTTTTAGGTTTTTATTTGAGAAGACCTGTTGTCGCATTGACTCGGTACGGTCATGGATGAAAGCCACGGTCATCCACCGTATAGTCCATCCTACGCACCGAGCGATTTTCACCTCTTCCGACAAAAATTAAAGGCATTGGTGAGTGTTAGTATGTTCCAAAGCATACCTGATCTCACTAGCGACAAACTTCTATAAAAGGAGGGTCAATATCACGAAATAAAAATTTTAATGTTCTACAGTGATATACTGACCTACTCCAATGACAGATGTGTTGATAGATTTATTTATTGTGCAGCACACCGATTGAGTAAATTCAAGGTTTAAAACGTTAAAAGAAAAAAATGGCTCAGTAGTAATAGTTCATGTAATTTTTTTTAATATTCATATTTTTTTTTCACTTGTTTCAGGTGGTGAGCAAGCCATGGGTATTCACACCAGATACAAATACGGGTGATTTAACGAAGTTGTGTAATCATAAGCGGAAAATAATGACAATGGCGTCGTTAGCATACAAACAAACGGATCCAGCTAAATTTAGGAAAGGTAAGTCATATAATATTCATTATTTTTTGTATCCCTGTACAAGAACGTATAAATTCTATCTAAATCGTTAAAAATTACAGTGTAATCATGCATAACTCGGAAGACATTGAGTGACAATATTAGGATATTGTGTAGGAAGAATAAGGAATGTCCCAAAACCACATGTTTATTTCCCTCCTTTGTTTCCTGTTTCATATTGATATTGAATTAAGTTGCTATTCAGTTGGGCATTCACATCTGCCAAAACTTTCAAGGTATGCGCTTTAGTCCACCCATAATTACCTCCCTGTCACTGTTTATAGACATGGTCCCATCGACTGTGTAAGCCTAATACTGGCTAGTATACATATATGTTTCAAAACATCGTGCAAAAAATGAATGGCTAATTGGTTTTGGGCTAATTGATATATTTTGACTTATTAGAGTGTAACCGTCAAACCTTTCTTTCTAGTAAAATACATTAGGATATTTGTAATTTTTTTTTTTTTGGTTAGTTGTTCACAATTGCTCCACGTTCTTTTGATAGAAGGAGTGACATTTTGTATACTTCGTTTACTTTCTGTAGCGATGTGACCTTCAGTTTGACCGGCGCAAAGTAGAAAAGAACAGCACTAGGCCAGAAAAGAAAGGAGACAACTCTCGGCCAAACTCTCAACCGGTGAGGAGCGTATAATCCGTACAGTACTGGACGGAAAAATTTACCATTTTATCCATTGCATTGCTCAAATGTGCTGTTATTGGTACCATTTACTACTGAAAATATCAATGACATGTTTATTTATATTTGAAGACATATTAAAGGCTTTAACGCTTGTTTTCGACTCGCACTACTATTCATGATTGAACAAAACTTTTGGCAGGTACTGTATGAAAAAGTATGTTTAATATACAAGAGTCACATCGCACATCGCTGCAGAAAGTAAATGAAGTATACCTATTGGTTTTTATTATTTCGTAAAGGAACCATTTTAAAGTGGTATCATATGAATTAAACGTAAATTAAAAGGCAATATAAGTGAAAGAATATGGCGTATTTTTTGTATCATAAAAGCTTCTGGAAAATACTTTAACAGTTTCACACAAATGCTACATAAATATAGGCATAATACAAAGAGGTAATATGTTCGTTGTATATTCTAATCTGAAAGGAATCATATCTTTTGCAATGATTGCAATGCTGTTGAAAGAAAACTTTTATGATTTTCCATCATGTGTGATATTAACTATTCATGAGATGAGACACACGTATGTATCGGTTTTAATAAAACCGACAGGCTAATTGCTAGATGTCTCTTTTATAGGTATTTGAAAAGAAAAAGGTGGAGTGAAATTGAAAAACTACAAAGTACGTGACTTATTTGTTTGCTATTAAAAAAATGGATACGTGAATATGCGGAGTACACACATATAGGCATTGGATTGTCGTATATTGTGTAACAAACATGTTTACTAAAGCTTAAAAAAACGAAAATATGGCGTAATCTTTTGCCCTTGGAATGCCGCTTTTTTGTACCATTTTTTTTATTTAATAGAGCTTTTATGTCTGTCTGAATTAGGGTTGAATGTAACATTTTATTCAAGAAAAGGGTGAAAAGCAAATCGAATAATCTAGATTTATATGTTATCTTTTGAAAAATTCCTATTCACGTACAATTAAATTAGGTGGATTAAAAAGCTTGGTGGAAAATTTGAAAAATTCACTTACCCATTGCCTTTATGGAACATTTTAAACTAAAATCAAATTGTAAGAGTTACACAACTTTTTCAAATCATCTCTTTAACCCTTTTCATTTGAAGAATGTCGAATGATAATACATAATGGCAACACGAAACATTCGTCTGTTTTTGACTTTGGTATTATTTTTGAAAAAGAAATTGTAAAGGTAGATATGTTAAAAGTATTTACTAGTAGACTGGAAGTCTTTTTAATACAATTCAGTTTATACGTTTGTATAGTCTTGTCATATATTTGAAATACTACTGTTAGCAATAAATATCGCTAGATGGCGATGTAAGGCGTCCTATAGTCTAACTTCTTGGGTAAGTTTATGAATTGGGGTTTCTGTTGAAATGTCTTTCACCACAATAAAATTAAAGATGAAATAGTAGAAGAACGAAAAATTTTAAGATTATGACCACCAAAACTAAAATGAAACGTTTCGAATTGAAGGGTCTTGCTAAAATTAAGTTTACTTTGAGGATTCTAAAGTTTAAACTACCTAGCGATATTTGAATTCGTTTGGGTTGTCATAATAACCATAAAAGCATAGTTCCAATGCAGTAATTATTGTCAGTCATGCTTCTAATTAGCCGACCTTGTTTCCATTCCGCATGAATATGCATCTGCACAACACTTACACAATTATTATTACATATGTATCATTGTGTGCGCGTAATTGTTCGAGATAGCATCGTATGCATTACCAGTACGTACTTATAATTTATTTTTTAGAAAAGGTACCTGTATACGTACGTGTACGTAGTGTTCGTACAGAATTTTTGCAAGGATAACGCGGTCATTTTCTTATCGTTAATTAGAAGTTGCTTTCCTCGATTTTAACGACGCCGTAAAAAGTTATTATTGTTGGATTTTATGTCGTTCGTTTTAAACAAACCGTGTTAACAACACATCATTGCGTTCCACGTTTGGGTTCGTTATTTAACGATGAAATTCAGGACATTTCCTTACTGCGCTCGTTGTTTACTCATTTCGCGAACTGTTATTATTGTCTGTCACGTGATTACGACGACATTTATTTATTACCTGATGTATTTCACAAGCGGACCTCCGTACCTGCGGTTGTAAAATGGCGGTTTTATTTATTCTTCTACTTCTTCTTCTTCTTCTGTGGGCAGGAAAAGGGAATTTCAAAGGAATAAACTTTTTCAGTTGTTCCTCTTTTTAAGATCGTTAAAAGACTGACGTGAGTGCCTACTTTAAAATTACAATTTCAGGTTGAAATTAACGTCATGTTAAATTGCCATACAATTTCTATTAATGTTGAACTTCGTCTTGAATGATCGAACTAAGAGCATTCAAAGAATTTGTTTCGTGTTAGGCATATGAATTATAAATTGGTTTTATGTATTTACGTTTAGAAATATTAAACAAATCCCAGAAAAGGTCTAATAACAATCTGAAACTGTCCAATAACGCAGCCTTTCACGGTCACAATGCATAGCAGAATTGAGATTCGGGCTGGTAGACCTTGGTCGAAATGAACCACCTGTTCATAAACCATGTTTTAGCCACTTTTTACTCTCCCCTTCTACCCACATGTAAACTATCATGGTTTTTATTCTTGTACCTCCCACAACAACGTGACCTTTTCAACATTCTTGAAGTTTATTTTAATTATATATATATTTATTCAAAATCATCTGAAAAAGTCTGGTCTAATTAATAAAAATTTCTCCATTTCTACATCCTTCGATCCATTTGATAATAACGTCAAAATTCAATAATTTTTATTTTTTTTTAATTATCGACCCCAAACCCCCAAAGTATGGTTCAGAATAGGTTTTTACCAAACCCCTAGTTTATGGACAAAAACGTAGAACATAGTTTAGATTAAGACCTTTTGCCTGCAACTGCACCTGTCATCTTCAGTCAAAGCTAAGTTAACAATGAGGACAGATATATCCTCCCCGTGCGTTGTCAACATACTTTCCGCTAAAGATGTTAGCCGCTGTGGAGATTCAAGACCGAGCGGCATGGCCTAGAGGTCTAGACCATTGCTTAGCATTCGGGAGGACGCCGGTTCGATTCCGGGTCCGTCTGCCTTGGTCCAAGTTTTTCTGTGGTTTCCTTGGATCACTTAGGCAAATGCTGAGGCAGTAATATTCCACAGATAATCTTTCACTCTCTTCTGTCTTCATTTCGTCCGTCTCATCTTTCTCACCCGAACCACCACCCACCCATTCCCACGATTCCTGAAAGCAGGCTGAAGAGGGCCTTCCGCCCTACCTTCCGGCATAGCCCGGAGGGACTGCCCGCCCACCAGCATTACTGGCTGGTGGGAATGAAACACCCAAAGGTTTTTTTAGTTTTTTTTTGTGGAGATTCAACACGTAACATATGTTAATTTCAAATTATTTTGATGTTTCAATCATGTCTGATGGCGGCCTTCCTTTTACATCACTGTTTCAATTTGGTTTTGATGTACAGTCTATTTCAATTTGTTAGAATTGTGACCGTGAAGAAATCTGCGCGAAGATAGAAAGAATACACACTAGGCGTGAGCAAGACAGAAATAGTTGGAACAAGCTTGAACGAGCAGAGCTCTCGATGGGCGGTCTTAGGAGATCGGCTAGAACTGTACAGTACTAGACGAAAATGTTTAGCAATTTCTTAAAACAAAAATGTATATAAATTAACAATAGAAAACAAAGCAAAAGTTTTATAGGTTTGTAGAGCGTTAAGTTAATTCACTTGTTATTATTTTTGGCTAAATATGCTTTTAAATAAAGCATATTCTTAAATTTTAACGAGGCTGTTTAAATAATTTTGCAAATGGTACTGTACACTTTTGTCTAGTTCTTGCTCGAGGATCGGTGAATCCTAATAAAGGGAAGGGGCATATCTTTAACTTCTTGAAACGAACAGTAGTTCTTCTTTTGTCAATTATGGACGAACATTTTTTTTGGGGGCGCGTGTGGAACGAAACGTTTTTCTGTCAAGTCTCATCGATTTACATGACAGCGTGAAATCAGACGACAATGGTAGGTTGTCTCAGTCGCAGTAGCTTTTAGAGGGGCATTATCGATCTTCCTTCCGGGACTACACGGAGGACGACTCTCGACCGTAGATATTTAAACAATCCCGCTGCTTTCTCTATTACCTCCTAATAGTGCCCTTCTTCGCTTTCCCCTCGGCTCGGCGTCATCGTCGTCGTCGCTAGTCGTCATTGTCGTCGTCTACCAGATTTCATCCCTATTAAATAAACCATAAACGACGGGCGCCCCGAGCTACTGCCCGTAAACGGCGGTATTATTCGCAA